TTTCTTTAGTACTGAACAAAGCAAGGAATAGTCATTCTGTATTGCAGTCCATGGCCTCATTGGGGCCATTTTCCCTCAATTCTTACTCTGACAGGTGTCAGACAGAACAGAAAGTATCAAGGCCTTATTTGCATGGAGGCCCACACTGCCTACGTTCAGGGCTACTCACCCATGTCAGCTTAGGACATGGTTGTATCCATGTAGCCAATGTGCCCTCATACCTCTACATGGACTACCTGCACATAGCATCTCAAGCTGCAATAATGAACAACCCATTTACAATGCTATGTGAATGAGGCCCAAGCAATAAAAACTGGAGAGAGGATCCAAGTCTTCTTCATTTTATTTAGAACTTGGAAAAAAAAAATTAAAAAAGTTTGGAGGTAGAGTTGGGTTTTTAACTCCACTAAAAAGCATTAATTCTGCCTTGTGTAAGAAGCCCATACTCATCAGCACAACTTCCACTTCTAAACTTATTGAAGCAGTGGCCCTAGTAAAATTCTTAAATCCCCCACATGCCTCCCTAATCACAGAAGAGGATGGTAGTAGGGTAGCACAATAATAGTTGGGGAACCTGGAATAAAGAAGAACTCTTACTTCAATTATTTTCAGCGTTCTTTTCCCAAGGAGACGGCTTGTAGGTAGCAGAGACTGCTGCTTGATAACCAGTACTTGTCTCGGCTCCAAGCACTTACCCCAAACAAGCAGAAGCAAGGTGAATGCACAGGAAGGAAGGAGCATCTCCTCGTTAGCTACCTTGGACAGCTGCAGGGGGAAGGGGTTGTGCCAGGAGATTTGGGGGCCAGGCAAGTCTTTAGTTCTGTGTTGACTCTTCTTAAAGTGACGTAAAGCTTACATGGGACTTGCTTTTCTTGTTCACAGTGGCTGAATAAAGCAATGGAAAGAATGAAAGAGTATGTTTCTCTGGGGGAGAGGGGCATTAGAGGGTATCTACGGCCAAATGTAAAATCATATGTTTCCATACTCCTATTACTATGAACAATACTGAAATTTGTAAACTTACTATGTGAAGATCCCCAAACATTTACTACCTTGAATTCTGTGTCACCATGCCTTGTAAGTAGGCACTGCTGTGTCACACATTTCAAAGAGCCTGCTTTCTGAACTACAAAAGGTGCTGAAAGGAGGAGTTTCATGAGCCAGAGTCAGTACAGGAATCACTGCTTGCAGGCAGCAAGGTACCATGGGATATGTAGTCCTTAGAAATGGAAAGTAAATAGCAGAATAGAAGCTGCAAAGCATGCTGGGAATCCAGGAAGTTGTGGAAAGAGAAGTCCAGCAGACAGGCAAAACTCACAATCTGAAGGGAGATTTTTCAGGCAGTTTTATATTGTCTTGTCAAATATAACCATTGCTTATATTGTTATTACAGTATTGATGTTATAAAAAAGAAAGTGCATGCTATGACTATAATGTAAACCTAGTGCTTTGCCTTACATAGGCAAGTACAGGTTTTGGAGAAAAATATGGAAATAATATATGATTTGCAGGTGTGAAAATGTCATGTTTCGCATTGAAAGTGGAGGTGATGTAACATTATTTTTGCTTCCACTGTGTGATAGGACACCTAGCTAACAGGTGGGAAGACTCACTTTCATCATTCACTGCGTGCACTAGGTAGCAATATACGGTCGACAAGGTCAACTGACTGAAAGAGACAACAAGGACATTGTGCAGGATTGTGACCCCCGAATAGGAAAACTGATGCAAAAGTGACTGCAGAGCTCAATCTCAGTCTTCCAAAGCCCGTGTCCACAAAAACTGTGCGGAGGGATTTCCATAAGCAAACATTCACGGGCAAACTGCAACTGCCAAACCACTAATGACCAATATTAATGTTCAGGAGAGAGTGGTGCAACACCTATAAATCGTGGACTATCAATCAATGGAAGGTAATATGGTTCGATGAGTCGAGCTTCACACTGTTCCCAACCACCAGACGTATTTACGCGTGGTGAACATCATCCCAAGCTTACAACCAGGACTATCTTGTGCCAATGGTAAAGCATGGTGGTGGCACAATCATGGTTTGGGCAGCCATATCTTGATATTTTCTATTGCTATATAGTAAGGGCTGGTTTTTATATATATATATATATATATATATATATATATATATATATATATATACATATACATATACAGTCTACACATGTTCATAATTTTTTTTGTTTGCGTGTTTATTAGTTTTTGCAGAATACAACTATGAATTTACTACTCATAAAGTGCTGTCTAACTTCAAAACACAGGCCCCATCATCACCTTGAAAAGTATAGCCACTGCCAGCGACAATGTACAAATTTTGGCCGGCCATGCGCATCCCATGGTGCAGACATTGTTTTCCGAAGACAGCACCATTTATGTAGATGATAATGCTCCAATTCACACAGCTGGTGTTGTCTGTTGTCAAATTGTGGTTTGACGAGCATGCAGACAAAGTCTTGCACCTTCCCTGGGAGCGACAGTCGCTGGACCTCAATACCATAGAGCCACCATGGTCAATTTTGGAGAGCAAGGTTCTGGCTTGTTTTCTGCCTCCGCCATCTCTGCAAGAACTGGAAAGATTTCTGCATGAAGAGTGGTATAAGATTCCAATATCCATCATCCAAGACTAATATTTGTCAATTACCAGGAGAATTCAGGCCGTCTTCAATGCCAAAAAGGTGGTCCAACACCATATTAGGTAATGATTTTTTTCTTTTTTACCTGGTGTTTCCATAATTTTGTCCAACCCCTTTATATTGGAGGTTTGTTTTGGGCTCCATTCACACTGCTCTGAGCATTTTTCAAGCATTTTTTTCAGATGTCAGTGTCTTTTTGAGCAGATTTGCAAATATTCTGGGCATTTTTTTTTAGGCGATTTTCAGTTAGGCATTTTTGCTTTGGCCAAAAGAAATAGAAATTGCTGCCGTTTGACCTGAAAACGCCTTTAAACAAATGCTCATTCCCACTGTTCAGGCATTTTCCATTCACGTCTATGGGGACAAAGTGCTCAGATCTGCCTGAAAAGTAGTACTTTTAAATGACAGGTGTTTTGCTACAGGCACCAGAATGCTCAAGTGTGAACAGGGGCCACTGAAAATAATGGGATTTTACTCGTTGAGTGCTTTTGAGCATTGAGCTGAAAAACATTCAAGTGTGAACGGGCTCAAAAAGCAGTTCCAGAGGCAGAATGTTTTTTTTAACCTCAATGCATGCTGTGCCTTAAGGTAAAAAACCTTCTGTGTGCAGCTCTCCTCCCCCAGCTCCCCTTATACTTACCTGAGCCCGATCTCAATCCAGCGCTGTACCCTAGAGAAGCATCGCTACTCTTTCTCCTCCCTGGTTTCGAGGCCGCAGCGGGCGCCATTGGCTCCTGCTGCTGTCAATCACAGCTAGTGAGGCGGAAGTGGAGGTGGGGCACTAATGAGTGCTTCCATAGCAAGCAGCTTGCTATGGAGGCACTCAGCAGGGGGAAGGAGCCAAGTGCACAAGGGGGGACCAGAGAAGAAGAGGATTGGGGCTGCTCTGTACAAAACGAAAATGACCTTTACAATAGTGATTTTAAGAAATACACCGCCATATACTATTCTCTCTGCTTATTGCATGAAGTTAGACAGCGCTTTATAAGGCGTAGTAAATTCATAGTTGTATTGTGCAAAAAGTAATAAACAAGCAAAAAAAAAAAAAATAATGACCGCGTAGACAATATATACATAAAAAAAACAGTCTTTACTGTATAGCAAAAGAAACCTTCACATGTGCTTATATATTTTCAGATGTTCCAAAATCATCTTGTTAACAAGATGAGCCTTATTGGCTCACTGTGAACCGTGACTCATCTAACCAACATTGAGAGTTAAAATGTGGCAGCTGGTGGGTTGTACAGATGACCAGAAAGCAACGTACATGTCAGAGCTCTCCAGTGTTCAGAAGGTGTGAAGCAGAAAAATCAAACTGGACGGTACAGCACCTGGGGGAGCATTCACTACGCAACAAGATCCAGCTTTAGGGTTTTATGGTCAACACAGCTTTCATTCAGTGCTACACAAGTGTCTAAAAAAAAAAAAAAAAAAAAAAGTTAATCACTACTCTATATATCACTGGCCATAAGAAATCTCATGACAGTTTTAATATTAGAAAAGACAGCAACCCAGCTCATCTGCTAGGATACACAAGTCATGTCTTCCAGCCTCTTGTGTCTCAGATGGAGACGGAGCAGCCTACAGTTCAAGCATGTCAGTTTGTTTAGGTAAGCGACATGAGCAAGGCGCGACATAAAATAAAATGCTGGAGCCAGGCACTTGAAGTGAAGTGAATTGTATGTCATCCAATTTGAGATATCCTCCTCTAATCACCTTCCTCTAGGAACATGACAGTTTTATTTTTAGACATTTGAGAGCAGAATACTCTGACGGATAAATTACAAAGAGGGTGGCTGAAAGTGATACATACCAAGAAGAAAGAAATAAAAAAAGTCTGAAAAAACATAAAATACAGAGAAAGTGATCTAAAATAAGGAAAAATGTAGTAGTGTGCTGCAAGTTACAAAAATAAATAGAAAAAACACCCTCTCTTCTAGCTGCCAGCTATTTCAGAACAAAAAACATCCTGTATTACCGACTGATGTTATTATAGGGGTTTCTTTTTTTTGTTTATTACCTATTTGTAATCGACAAGACTGATTTATTTTGTATTTATCAATTAAAGCTCAACTCCAGTGACAATTACCGTATTTGGAAATGTCTGTGCATCTTATGGAGCGAATATGGAATGGCCAGACCGATATTCCCGCTGCCGCTGTGTTAGAATACCGGGCCGGTTGCTCGGCTCTACTGTGCAGAAGAACCTGATCCTCAGTCCAGCGATGTCCTGCTTTCCCCGGCATCTTCAGTGTGGGCACCCAGCTGTGACAGGTTGCGGCTTCACAACCGGGTGCCCACTGCGCATACGCGAGAAGCGCTGCGCTTTGTGAGGGAGAACAACTCCGTTCCCCAAAGGTCCACAGTCTCTGGTCATCTCCTGTACCATGTCCGCAGTCTCTGGTCATCTCCTGTACCATGTCCGCAGTCTCTGGTCATCTCCTGTACCATGTCCGCAGTCTCTCTGGTCATCTCCTGTACCATGTCCGCAGTCTCTGGTAATCTCCTGTACCATGTCCGCAGTCTCTGGTAATCTCCTGTACCATGTCCGCAGTCTCTGGTCATCTCCTGTACCATGTCTGCAGTCCATTGGTTCAGAATATTTTTTTTCCTTCTCTAAAATCTAGGTGCGTCTTATGGCACAAAAAATACGGTAACTTGGCCCAATGCAAGCATGGATATGTGATACATGATTGGCCTCTGTAAATCACTGAAGTAACCTGAGCTCCTACAGTGTTGACTGCAATCTTCTGGATGCTGTGCCAAGCAGTTGCCCTTCTAGATTGTAAACACAGGGGGTGTCTTTACGCCGCAAAAGGGGCAAATGTGCCCATGAGAGTGAAGCCTAACATGTGTTTACATTTTCCAAATTACTGTAGCTTTTCTAAACACAGGAGTGCCAGTGTGAACGAGGCCTAAGCTGGGTTTACCGTTCTTTGTGTGTGCAGCATGCGTGTGAATGAACCCATAGAGCAGCCTATCTCAACCAGGCTGCCATGGAGCTTTGGGGTTCCTTCAGAAGTTTCTAAGGGTTCCTTGAGCTGAGGATCACTGACCTCCCATTTGATGGTGCCTGCATAATTCTAGAGCCAGCTGCCAGACACCAATGATCTTTTTAGCTGTCCGTAAGGGTGACAATCAGAACACCACCATTATAGGGAGGGAATTTTTCCCACTGACCCCAAATGAATTGCTTTTAGCCAGGGTTCCCTAGTACCTAAAAATTATTTCATGTGTTCAAGGGTAAAAAGGTTGAGAAAACTTGCCAATGAGTTTCCCTTTGCCTTTCACATTAAACTGCAGTGCATAGATGTAAACCAGCCACATAGGGCAGAATGGGATTTCTCCTTGACGTGTGTTTTCATGAAGCAAAATAAAAAGGGTTTGTTCATTGAAACAGAAAAGTGTAAATGGTCCGTAAAAGAATGCTACATCTGAAATTATTTTAAAGTCTGGTCACCTGTGTACACTAATTCTGATGATGTAAAGAAGAGCACCACACGGAGCAAGAAAAAGATGTCAGACACACAGTCATTTTCCACAGAATTACATAGGATAAGGTGAGCATGCCCTGAGACTAACTACTGACCTTCAATGGATGTTCTATGTCACTTACAACCAACACACACACAAACATACATCTTAAAGTATTATGTTTTGCTGCCTTACCTCCTCCTCCCTCACTAATGGACATTATTTTTAAAATACGTATTGTAATTTGTACTTCATTTGTGCTGCAAAGCAGCACTTCCACATTTCTCAGCTAGGCAAGCCTTTTTACGATCCCCCTGTGAGTGTGCAGGTTCCCCGGCCATCTGCATACACGCAAAGACTTCTACCAGGAAAGTCCAAAACCTTCCGGGTCTTTGTGCATGCATGGAAAATCCCCTGTGCATGCACCGATGGCTCAACTCGCTCTGCCAGGACCCAAAGACAGGGCAAAGCCCATGGGTGCATCTGCGAATGTGCATCTATATGTATGTATGTATGTTTTTATGTCATTGTCACCTTCTTTAAGAACAGTGCTAAAAAAAAAAAAAAAAATCAGATTATGCAATATTAATACTTGGTGAAGCAACTTAACTTTTAAAGTACAGGTGAAACTCGAAAAATTAGAATATCGTGCAAAAGTTCATTTATTTCAGTAATGCAACTTAAAAGGTGAAAACGAATATATGAGATAGACTCATTACATGCAAAGCAAGATAGTTCAAGCCGTGATTTGTCATAATTGTGATGATTATGGCTTACAGCTCATGAAAACCCCAAATCCACAATCTCAGAAAATTAGATTACATGCAATCAATAAAACAAGGATTGTACATAGAACAATATCGAACCTCTGAAAAGTAGAAGCATGCATATGTACTCAGTGCTTGGTTTGGGCCCCTTTTGCAGCAATTACTGCCTCAATGGGGCGTGGCATGGAAGCTATCAGCCTGTGGCACTGCTGAGGTGTTATGGAAGACCAGGATGCTTCAATAGTGGCCTTCAGCTCTTCTGCATTGTTCGGTCTCATCTTTCTCTTAGCAATGCCCCATAGATTCTCTATGGGATTCAGGTCAGGTGAGTTTTCTGGCCAATCAAGCACAGTAATCCCACGGTCATTGAACCAGGTTTTGGTGCTTTTGGCAGTGTGGGCAGGTGCCAAGTCCTGCTGGAAAATGAAGTCAGCATCCCCATAAAGTTTGTCTGTGGAAGGAAGCATGAAGTGCTCCAAAATCTCCTGGTAGATGGCTGCGTTGACCCTGGACTTAATGAAGCACAGTGGACCAACACCAACAGATGACATGGCTCCCCAAATCAACACAGACTGTGGAAACTTCACACTGGACTTCAAGCATCTTGCAGTGTGTGCCTCTCCATTCTTCCTCCATACTCTGGGTCCTTGGATCCCAAATGAGATGCAAAAGGTGCTCTCATCAGAAAAGAGAACTTTGGACCATTGAGCAACAAACCAGGTCTGTTTTTCTTTAGCTCAGGTAAGACACTTCTGATGTTGTTTGTTGTTCAGGAGCGGCTTGACAAGAGGAATACAACATTTGAAGCCCATGTCCAGGATCTGTCTGTGTGTAGTGGCTATTGATTTGCTTTGCTTTGATACAGCACTTTGGGAACATCCAACTTCTTTTGCAATTACCTTTTGAGGTTTTCCCTCCTTATGGAGGGTGTCAATGATGGTTTCCTGCACAACTGTCAGGTCAGCAGTCTTTCCCATGATTATGATTCCTACTGAACCAGACTGAGAGACCATTTAAAGGTTCTGGAACCCTTTGCAGGTGTTATGGCTTAATTAGCTGATTAGAGTGGGACACTTTGAGCTGAGAATATTGCACATTTTCACAATATTCAAATTTTTTGAGATTGTGGATTTGGGGTTTTCATGAGCTGTAAGCCATAATCATCACAATTATGACAAATCATGGCTTGAACTATCTTACTTTGCATGTAATGAGTCTCATATATTAGTTTCACCTTTTAAGTTTCATTACAGAAATAAATTACCGTATTTTTTCGCTCCATAAGACGCACTTTTTCCCCCCCAAAAAAAGGGGGGGGGGGGAATGTCAGTGCGTCTTATGGAGCGAATATGGAGCGGCCGGTCTGGTATTTCCACCGCCGCGTCAGAATACCGGGACCTTACCTGTTCCTCTATCCAGCGGCACGCTGTCTTCCAGGCTTCTGTAGTGTGGGCGTTCGGCTTGACGGCCGGGTGCCAAGTGCGCATGCGCAAGAAGCGGTGCGCTTTGTGAATGGTAAGGCGGCACCTGGGACACATGACAGGTCCCAGAAGCCGCCGAACCAATCACAAAGCGCAGCGCTTCTTGCTCATGCGCACTGGGCACCCGGCTGTCAAGCCGAGCGCCCACACTACAGAAGCCGGGAAGACAGCGCGCCGCTGGATAGAGGAACAGGTAAGGTCCCACTGCAGAGCGGACACTAACCAAAGAACAACTCCATGGAAGAGCGGGTACCTGTCAAATTCAGGTACCCGCCCCCCCCTCCCCAAAGGCCAATAGTCATCTCCTGTACTATGTCCGCAGTCTCTGGTCATCTCCTGTACTATGTCTGCAGTCCATTGGTTCCGAATATTTTTTTTCCTGTTTTCTGCCTCTAAAACATAGGTGCGTCTTATGGTCAGGTGCGTCTTATGGAGCGAACAATATGGTAACTTTTGCACAATATTATAATTTTTCGAGTTTCACCTGTATTTAACACTTGAAGTGTTTTGGGGGCAAGTATTATTTTTACTCCAACCTGGAGCTAAGAGTAAGTTTTGTTAATGGAGTCAAGTTTCCGGCTGAGCAGAATTAACACGGTGCGCAACTATAATCTGTCATCTGTCCAAAATGAACAGAAACCAGACATCGTCAGAGAGGCTTCATTTCCTGACACAAACCCCAATAACTTTCAGCACATTTATATTCCAAATTGTAAATCCAAATACAGGTAACTAGTGAGTTTAATGTGTGTGAACAAATGTTTTGCCTTTGGTGACATTTTCAAATATAGCTAAAAGTTTAAAGACGGCTTGTTGGTTAGAATGTTTCATGTGGTTAACTAGGATGTAAGCTCTCAGTCAGTGCTGAGTGTACGCAGGGGGTACGTCTGGAAGAGCGCAGTGGGTACTTCCACTTGTCAAAGCAAATGTATCATAAAAGCTTATAATAAATTATTATTATTTAAAGAAATCTGACATAGGAGAGTCAGAAAAACGATGTAGCTTTTATTAGGCAAAAGGCTAGTCTTGATATTTGCCAAAAGACTTGTTGTGGGTTGATAAAAAAAGGTTCTAAAAAGGGTCAAGTCCACCCAAAAGGGCTATTTCCACTGCAGATAGTCTAGTGAGCCATGTCATTGTTGGATCAGGTATCCAGACATGGAAAGACCACATGCAGGTCCCACCTCTCAAAAAAATAAAACGTTTGAGGCTGTTTGCTCTCCAACATCAAGAAGTGTTTTTCAACTCAAGGGTGATGTATGGGTTCCCCTTGGGTGCTGCAAGCAAAGGACCCAGATTGTCCTGGATCAGTATCATGAGTTATGATGGCCAGCTGCCAGCATCACAATTATTGATGCTCCAGGGCAGAACACATGGTGGTACTCGTTGCTACGGTGTTAGTGGCTGGCCTACCCAATGCCAAACACATGATCCATGGCAGGCGGCACACAGGACTAAACTCCATATACAGGAGAGGACAGAAGTCCCCTCCATCAGACCTGTTCTACCTCCTATGCTCTGCCTTGCTGCTGCAGCCAAAATGTTCTGAAGTAAAGAGGGGACTCCGATGTTATGAGAGGATTCTGTCGAGGGAACTTAGAGGTGATGGGGAAGCACTAACGAGAAGGGGGAATATCCAAAATTCTGGGAGGACCTCTGATGTGAAGAAGGGTTTCTGATATGCCATTAATTTAATCAAGTTGGTTGTGTGAATCATCCCAGGCTCATGTTTCCCATTGACATGTAGCATTTACATTTTAGACTGGAGTGCCTAAAGCCAGCCATAGATGGTTTGAATTGTCGCCGGTTCAGAAGGGACCGGCCGAGATTGGAACCATCTATGGGCAGGCTGATTGTACTCAGTTTAATTGTCATATGACTTGGTTATAACCAGCATTTTGGGTTTTTACATGTGATTATTACCAGCGGCTATAGATCTCCCCCTGCACCCCAAACGGGAGGGAATCCTGCATCAACACTGACTGTGTTGATGGGGTGAATCAAGCTATTTTCTTTCCTGCAACCCGTGGTTGCGGGTAAGAAAATCACATCATCTATAGCTTGCCTAAGATTTTGAAAGGGTGCCGTGACTGAAACATTTTGAAAACGATGACGTGACTCATGTTCTGAGAAACTTGAGATAAAGCCTACTTATTTGTCTCCTTGTTAAAAGGAGGCTGAGCGGAATTAGGTTAGTATACATTTTATCCATATGAAGGGAGTGTAATAACGAGGACACCTGATAGTTCAAATATTAATGCTGGTAATTCTGTGATGTGAATCATGATATTTTCAATTCATAAAAATTGTACTATTGCTTTGAACATGATTTAATTATAAGCACTTGGAAAGTCAAGTCCCACTCAGTATACTTTTAGTTTTTAATGAACATTTTAACAATCAATTAAATATCATTGGGTAGGGTAGGGGGTGAGAGATAGCAGGAGATTGTGCAGCGGGCAACCTCATCCTGAGACTTGGGGGGGAGTTGGGGTACCCCTGCGCTAGATGGAAGGTACTTTTAATCAGCATTTACACCATTACATATTCTACACATGTGAAAGACCCTCTACTAAATGAATACCTGCTCTGGCACATCATAGCATTCACTCGGCACTCCAAGAAATAACAGAATCCAACTGCAATATTCTTGCACTGTCAAAACCTCCACTTTTATTATCACACGACACACAGGAGGATATATCTTATAGTCATCACAATCTGCATAATAACACGCCAATAATAATGTGAGCATTACAGCATGAAATAGACACATCATTTGACAGCGTCACAGCATAGAATTAATATATTACCAAAGCTATGTGAAGGCGAGAAGGAACAGATCCCATCTGAACCAAACTGCTCAGGGGTCATGGGGAAGCCATAAATGTGACTAATCGATGAGCCCGTATAGCCTTGGCAAGAGTCCCAGTATCAGAGCGTCCTCATCTGCTAGGAGAGCTTCCTAATCGATCCCGTTTGGACTACCAGCTTTTAAGCCATGTTCATGACAGCTTTCCATAAGTAAGCGGGCACCATACCCACTCTAGGAGGAGCTAGCAGAAAGGTTCAGTGAGGATAACAGAGTCATGCTCAGCCACCATATTGAGTCCAGATCGTTAAGTCACACTTTTACTTCAGATCAGCTTATCTACCCTAAACGTCTTCTCATCTACCCTAGACTTAAACATTTCTAACTTCTCAAGCAAGTAGACATCTTTAAACAGGTTTTTATCTTCTAGTGTGACATTACTAGATGTCATAAACACGTTCAATCCCACAAACAAGTTTTTATCTTGCTCTAAGCAGAATATTTTGTGACTGTGATGGCGACTCTGTTCTTTTAGACTAGAGAAATTACATCAGTCACTTCTTATGCTCTTGGCATTTGGGCAACAATGCTTTATTGTAAAAATTACCCAAGAAACAAAAGGGTCCAAGGCCAACACATTTCGTAGGCATTACAGGGGGAGCCTGGAGCTCTGCTTTAAGCCTCATACAAACTAAGAGAATATCAGACAAATGATCTACCATTCTTATTGCATGATAGTGTCATATCTAAAACAAAGAGGTTACTAAAGTGACGAAAATTCTCGTATGACAGAATACTTCGGAAGTTGTGTAATGTATTGTATTCTTTCATTTCTGAGCATGTGTGGTCTTGGTCTTCTGATTTTTTTTTTTCAGACGAATACTGTACTGAAAGAAAAAAAAAAAAAATGGAAAAAATGTTCGCGTTTGTCCCTTCGGATAATGTCTCATGAACCATCTTGATTGGCTCTCGAAAGCTGTGTACTAACAAGCAGATTATCGTATGATCAGCATTTTATTTTTCGTCCGATTTTCTGATTGTGTGTACTAGGCATTACATTGGTGCAAGCTGGATCAATGTAAGTATGCAATAAAATTCATATCTGGAGTCAGCTTTTTTTGTGCATATATGGAAAAGCTACTGGCTTTATTTGACTATGAAATCCTAGATATATTCCTTTTTTGGTTAAGTGTGTATTTTAAAACCAAGTGATATTGCACAACTGGCATTTAAACACTGAATGAAAAGAAAAGGTGGCATTTATTGCCTGCGATTTCTCTTGATCAGCAGTCAGCGAAGTCACATTCATGTGTACAGCAGGTGAATTGTTGGCAAAGACAGGCAACTTGGACACAGTTATCCATTTTATTTTTAGCTTTTGTCTGGGGACTATAAAGTAGGACACAAGCTTTCGGCTCTTAGCTATACAGATTTGTGTGGAAAAATTAACATGGTGCTAATGCTAATCCAAGCACACATTATGACTGTACGTTCTATACAGAGCATGCAATTTAAATCATATGAAGACTATAAAGTAAAGTAGAGAAGGTTACCGAACATTGCTCAATGACTACCATGTCACTCAAGGTTGGATGACATTGTGGTACACTGGCTGATCAGAAGGGCAGACGTCTGCTTTGTGTTAAAGCCTAGACAGACTAATGTGCTGCTTGGATCAGTTTTTGTTCTGAGCTAGCATCAAATAGTCTTTGCTAGTATAAAAATGGTAATTTGATTTAAATAACTCAGTTCTCCCCAGAGATTACTTGTGCTGTGCTAGGAAGAGTCGCTACAGAACAATACACAGAACAGCTGGGATGATAAAAGCACAGGGTAAAAACGTGTTCAAGTTCTTCTGTGAATAATGAACACTTGTCCTAAAGTTCAACATCTGGGCGGCATCCTCCAACATTCCACCCACCCAGGTAACAGGTGATTTATTAGGCAAGGAATCACTAAGGATCTTGATTACAAGAGATGAATTAGTGCAAAAGGCTTTTTCAATGGATTTACAGAATTAAGCTTCAGGATCAATAAAAAAAAAAAAATATATATATATATATTTTTTTTTTTTGGAAATTTGAAATACGACCATTGCCTCATGCACACGGCCCATATATATTTATGTAGGATCTTGCTAGCATCAAGCTTCAGCGGAAAAAGCTGTGCATACACTGTACACGTGTAACTGCTTTACTTAACATGCGTACAGTGTAAATGAAGCCTACTACCTTTCACCACTGCTTTGTGTCGACATGTATGCATCAGCAATGTGCAGCCAGCATCGCTGCTTTCACCGATTACACACTATTGATGTTTTCATGTCCGCCCTAAATTAGTCATTTTTTTAATGTATTAAAGCAGTATTAATCCCAAAACCAAATATGTAATAAATTATAGCTTACCAATCATTAGATGTGGTGGTTGCATTCACTTTCTGTTATTAGGCTTTCCCCCTTTGTTTTCACCTGGTGATCTGGTCAGTAAACACACCTCCTGTATTCACTCTGGATGAAGGCACACAGGAGACACCTTTGCACAGTAGCATTGTCAGTCTAGGGGGAGGGGAGTGTTATATGAACTAGCAGATTTAACTACACTAACAATTTGAAGCCAAACTCCAGCTAATACTTTATAGGTAGTTGCAGCAATCAGGTTTTTTCCTTTTTAGATAGAGAT